CCCAGAAAGCCTGTGAAGGCCTGGGGGGACATGGAGACACAAGCAGTAACCTAGGAATAGGCAGAGACTTCATCAACAAAATCAGGATCACACAGGAAATATTAGAATCAACAAATGAAGTCACATCAAATTAAAAATCTTTTGCACAGCAGAAGAAACTACTGAGTGAAGAGACAACCCGCAGAATTGGCAAAGGTTTTTACCAGCTACCCCTCAGGCAAAAAGGACTGATAGCTAAGGGTCTCAAAAAATCAGATCTCCCAGATTTAAAGACCCAGTCCAAAAATGGGCCAGGAGTGGTGGTGCGCACCTGTAATCCCAGAACTCTTGAGCCTAAGGTGGGAGGATTGCTGCAAGTTTGAGGGCAGCCTGGGCTACAAAGTGAGTTCAAAGCCAGCCTGAACTGCATAGTGAGACCCTGTCTCAAAAAGAAAAAAAAAAAAAAAAAGACTTAAAAGCGTCATACCATACCGCAGTGATACATATATACTCCTGTTTATAGCAGCACAATTTATGTTAACTAAATCTTAAAACAGTTCAGATGCCCATCAGCAGATGAATGGATAAAGAAAATGTGTTTATATACAGTGGAGTACTACTATGCCACAAAGAAGGATAAACTTGGGTCATTTGTAGGAAAATGGATGCACCTCAGGACCATACTCTTAAGTGAAGTAAATTGGGTACACACGTTGAAATAGTGCATTATTTCTCTTGTGTGAGAAACCAAGGGGTAAATAAGGAGCAAAATGGAGGATAGATACGAGAAAGTAGAACAAGGAGGGGTGGAGAAAGGGAAGGAAGAGGAAAGAAGTTTAAAAAAGAATTAAAGGAAAAATGGAAACAGCTTTTATAAGTGGGGAAGGAAGGTCAAAGGAGCGTGAGGGGATGGAAGAAAGAGGAATTAAGGTGCATCCTATGCAGGCACCAATTGTCTACCATGAGCGTGAGCAGACTCGCAGGTCGGCAGCGCTGCTCCCGAACCTTGAACACCAGCACCTCTCAGTGCCTAGTGTTGCAGCCCTTGCGGCTCCCTCCCACCCTGCCTCCCCACTTGGCAGCCAGGGCTTGTGGCACGCTCAGTAGCTTTCTGGAGCTCTGCAGCCCTCCCCGCTCCTCTCCTCAGCTGTGCCTATGCAGGTCTGTTAGGTCCCTGGAGCAGCTGAGTAGCTCTGCGCCTGCTTATGAATTGAGTATAGATGGGGGCTTGTGGGTGTAGCTCATCTGTAGAGCACTTGGCTGGCCTGTGCCAGGCTCTAGGTTCAATCCCCAGGTCCAAAACATAAAAATAAGGGATGGGGAGGCAGCTCAGTGCTGGAGCCCTTCCTACCATGAATGAAGCCCGGAGTTCAATTCCCAGTACCAAAAGAAAACAGTAAAGACAAAGATCACAGTACTGATTCGATTCCCGGTACTGGAAAAAAACAAAACGATAAATTTGTGCCAGGTGTAGTAAAGATGCACATCTGTTTTGGTTTTTTGGGGGTTTTTTGGAACAGGGAATCAAACTCAGGACCTTGCGCTTGCCAGGCAGGCGCTTATGCCACCGAGCTATATCCCCGGCAAGATGCACATCTATAATCCCAGCACTCAGAAGGCTGAGGCAGGAAGAGTACCGTGAGTTTAAAGCCAGCGTGGGCTGCGTCATGAATGCAAGGCCAGCCTGAACTATGTAACAAGACTCTGTCTCAGAAAGCATCATCATGATTGTAATAAAAGAACATGGTCAGGAGCCCCTAAATCATCAGGACCTGCTGCTACCCTTGATGAGATGTCCCAAAGACCTGCTGCAGCTCGGTCTGAGATGAAGTTGCTGCACTTCAGCTCCTGAGGAGTAATTCCTCTCATTCCCTATTTTGTGTATGTGTGTGTGTGTGTGGGGGGTGACTCCCGTTTCCCTTCCTCAGAGCTGAAAGGGCTCTCACCTGCACAGCAGGACGCTGACGGCTGTGTCTTCTGATGAAAGCCCTGGTTTCACTCTCACTCTTCTTGAAAAGTTCACTTAGGAATCAATACAGCTTCCACATCATACTAATATAATTTCTCTGTGTACCAACTGCGTACGTGAAATAGGTTTATAGAAACTCACGTAGCAGGACAGATCATGTCACTGTTTTTGCTTTTTAATGTAGTCCCACAGAGAGGCCTGTTCCTCTCGGTGATGCGTAAGGAAGAGAGAGCTCCTTCATGCTGAGGGAGAGCGTGGCCTTGTTGGTCTTCAAAGACTGTTTACTGGGGCTGGGGATTTAGCTCAGCGGCAAAAGCGCCTGCCTGGCAAGCGCAAGGTCATGAGTTCGGTTCCCGGTACCGGAGAAAAACAAAACAAAAAAAACAAAACAAAAAAAAAACAAAGACTGTTTACTGAGTAACCATACAGCACCAGGCATTTTCACTTTGCACTCCATTTGCTTCCGTTAGTGTCTATAGTACAGAAGGTCATTGCAATTAATAATATTATTGTTACACTTTCTTTTTTTGGGCCAGGCTCTCTGTGCAGTTTAGGTTGGCTTTGAACTCACATGGAGCCCAGGCTGCCCATGAACTCATGATGATCCTCCTGCCGCAGCCTCCCGAGTGATGGGATTACTTATTTACAAAATTATTTATTCACTCCTTATTTACAAATGCTCAAAATGCAGATTCTTACTTGGTAGGAATGGTTGTAAGGGTAAATAAAATAATGAGTTAGGGGGGCTGGGGATTTAGCTCAGCGGCAAAGCGCCTGCCTGGCAAGCGCAAGGTCGTGAGTTCGGTTCCCGGTACCGGAGAAAAACCAAAAAAAAAAAAAAAATGAGTTAGGAGGCAGGCACAGTGGTGCACACCTGTAATCCCAGCACTCGAGAGGCTGAAGCAGGAGGATTGTTGTGAGTTCAAGACCAGTCTGTGCTACAAAGTGAGCTCAAGGCCAGCCTGAACTACGTAGCAAGACCCTGGTCTCAAAAGACAAAAAAAAAAAAATTAGAATTCTTTGAGGAGTACTTAACCCCTCACAAGTTTCCAATAAATATTTGCTACATTAATTGCAGAGACTGAACCCTAGCTCTTTTTTTTTTTTTTTTTTTTGGTATGGGGAATCAAACTCAGGACCTTGTACTTGGCAGGCAGGCACTTATACCACTGAACTATATCCCCAGCCCAGAATCCCAGCTCTTTGTACTGAGCTACATACTCAGTACCCTCCCCTTTTTTATGTTGAGACGGTCTGGATAAATCATTGAGTTGTTCAGGCTAGACTTAGATTTGTGATCCTTCTGCCTCAGCCTCCCAGAGTGCTAGAATTACAGATGTGCACTCCATGCCTGGCTAAGTATATATTTTAAGAGTAGAAAAGACTGTCAACAGTGATAATAGTGCCAGGTGTGGTAGCACATGCCTTTGCCTGTAATCCCAGCACTCAGAGGAGGCTGAGGCAGGGGGAGTGTTGTGAGTTCGAGGCCAGTCAGTCTGCACTACAAAACCAGTGATAATAGTATTAGAGTGGATTAATCCACATTAATTTCTGGGTATCCTATAGTTTTTTAAATACTGTAAGTAAATTTTATTTATTTATTTATTTTTTTGGTCTTTTTTGAGACAGGGTCTCGCTATGTAGTTCAGCCTGGCCTTGAGCTTACTTTGTAGCCCAGGCTGGTCTCGAATTCACAAAGGTCCTCCTGCCTCAGCCTCCTGAGTGCTGGGATTACAGGTGTGTGCCACCACGCCCAGCATAAACTTATTTGTTAAAATGTAGATCTATTTTTTGTTTGTTTGTTTTGGTACTGGGAATTGAACTCAGGACCTTGCACTTGCCAGGCAGGCGCTTATGCCGCTGAGCTATATCCCCGGCCCTTGTAAGTAAATTTTAAATCATTTGTCATGAGTAGTTTTAACATAATATGTAAATTTTAGTATGTAGATACATATATATATGTATACATGTTATTCATTTACTCTTTTTTCCCATTTACTTATTTTTGAGACAAGGTCTCTGTATGTACTTGAGGCTGAGCCCGACACAGTGGCACATGCGTATAATTGTAGCAGTCCAACCAGCCTAGGCTATATAGTTCAAGGCCAGCCTGAACTACATAGCAAGACCCTGCCTGAAAGAACAACAGCAACAGAAAAGTATAGTTCAGAATGGCCTCAAACTTGAACTCACTATAGTTTTCTTGCTTCAGTCTCTCAAGTGCTGGGATTACAAGGATATACCATCACATCTGCTATAAAATATATCTATATCTTAGCTGAGCATGGTTGTGTGCACCTGTAATCTAGCCCTGTGGGAGGCTGAGGCAGGAAGATGAATAAATCCACAGTAGGAAACTTTGATAAGTAGCAAAACCCCATCTCAAAAAAAAAAAAAAAAGGCTGGGAATGTAGCTAAAATCAAAGGGCCTGACTTGAATACCAGCTACTGCCAAGGGCCAGGGATATAGCTCAGTGGCACAAGTGCCTGCCTGGCAAGCACAAGGTCCGCAGTTCGATTCCCAGTAGCAAAAAAATATGTAAGAAAAAAAATTAATATATATATATATATATATAAAATAGATATACATCCCACACACATACTTATGTCAAGTATTATGTAATGAGAAATTTCCCATTTCACAGTGATGAAACAGAGGTATCTATTTTTTATATGTGTGTTGTAGAGTTGAAGATGGACAAAAAAGGATGTAGCTCAGTGGCAGAGCACTCCTGGGTTTGATCCCCTTACTAAGAAAAAAATCCCCCCCCTCCCTCCTTACTGTGCTGGGATCCAATCTAGGACCCTGTGTACCCTACCACTGAAGTATGTTCCCACCCAAGACAAGATCTTTTTTTTTTTTTTTGAGACAGGGTCTTACTCTGTAGTTCAGGCTGGCCTTGAACCCACTGTGCAGTCCAGAACTTGCAATACCCTCCTGCCTCAACCTCCGGAGTACTGGAATTATAGGCATGTGCCTCCATGCCCTGCTGTCTTTCTAACATTTATTGCTTAAATCTGATAGCTCACTTTGCTTTCTTCTTCACTGCAGCTGCGGCAGTCGCAGTCCTACTGCATCGATACAGAATGCCTTCAGGAACGTAAGTACCAGCAGGACATCAGAGGGTTGGCCTTGGGGTGGAATCAGAGGCTGAGTGTTTGCTCTTGAAGGAAATGGCTCAGTAATGTATTTGATACTTAAATATTTCATTTTTTTAAATTAAAATTTGTTTTTACCTGCTTTAGAAACAAACCATGTCATTGAAGAACATTATAAAATCACAGATACGACAGTAAAAACTTACAGCACACTGCAGGATGAGCAGTGTTGAACACCCTGGTATATACCCTCCCAGTCTGTTTTCTTGGTCAATGTATTGGTAGCAGGGCACGGTGGGCTACCTGGAGCAGCTGGCTCGAAACCTCCCCCCCGTCTGGCGGCTCAGGAACTTCTTCTGGGGGGCGGCGATCTCTCCTAGGTGTGGAGGCTCTAGGGGCTGTGGAATGCATTCCCTTGGCTCCGCCTTAGCATTCCCAGAAGAGTGCAGTGGTGAGGAGGTTTCTCCAGACAGCTTTTGGGCAGAGGTGATGGTCAGGTTTGAATCGGAACAGGAAGGTAAATCCTGCGTGGTAAATGTAGCTGAGACTTGGTGCCCCTTATGTGACACATCCGCTCTCATGATACTGAGGAACAGCTTGAAGGATGCCTGGAGGGATCCTGTGCGTTTAAGCCAGATTGTGAGAAGGAAAGTACGAGAGCTGGGCGTGGTGGTGTGCGCCCAGAATCCCAGTCCTGTGGCTGAGGCAGAGGCAGGAGAGCTACCAGTCTGACCTACATAGTAGTTCCAGGCCAGCCTAAACTAGGTAGTGAGACCTTGGCTCAAAAAAATAAAGTATAGCTTTGACAGGATGGTGTTATCTGGCACAATGAGATTTATTTTTAAAATTTTTTTAAAAAACATTTTTTGCAGTTCGAAGGATAGAAGTTAGGGCCTCATGCGTGTTAGGCAAGTGCTCCGCCCCTGAGCTGCACCCCAGCCCACGACTAGGTTTCATGTGCACTTACAGAAATAGACTCACTTTGGTTTGTTTTTCACAGCTGTATTATAAATAGACTTGTGTATCTTAAAAATATTTATTGGACTAGGGGTGTAGCTCAGTAGTAGAGCACTTGCCCGGCACACACACACACAGGCTCCCATTCCCAGCACCACCAGAAACCAAAACGTGTTGACTGAATAGTAATAATTCACTGTGGGGATGCACCAGTATTTAATGATTCCTTTTTTGTTGGAATCTTAGGTTGCTGAGATATTTTTTGCTATTTTTGAACAAATACTCTTTGTATGCACATGACAGGAAGAAAAACAATTTTTTCTCAGTCCTGATAGTTTTTAGCTAAGACATCTATAACAGAAAGCAAATCAATGGGAGGACAACAAGCCAGCTTCTTAATGTGTGTGGTACATATCATGCCCAGCATGCATGAGGCCCTAAGTTCTGTCCCCAGAACTGCAAAACATAAAATTCTTTAAAGGATTAAAAATAAATCTAGCCAGGTATGGTGGCACATGCCCATAATCCCAGCACTTGGGAGGCTGGGGCAGGAGGATTGTGGTGAGTTCAAGGCCAGCCTGGGCTAACTAGGGAGTTCAAGGTCAGCCTGAACTATATAGCAAGACCGTGTCTCAAAAGTAAATAGATAACTCACTCATTCTAATTTTTCCTGTCAAGTAATTCAAAAACAGCAGCTCAGACCTATCCTCCTGCCTTAGTGTGTACAATCAAGAGCAGTAAATATGAGAGAGTGGCCAAACTTAAAGGAAAAGAAGGTTAGGCTTCCAAGCTAGGACAGTGTGGAAGGGGTAACCTGTTCTCAGATGCCCCAGGTGCGCTGTGTGCTGAGAGGAGGGACAAAACTGCTTTTGGTGGAGTGCTTAGATCCTGCCTTTAGGCAGAAAAGTGGGGAGAGTTACAGGAAGAACTTTTGCTTCATTTGATTTTTCATAATTGCCTTTTTTTTTTATTTTAAAGAATAAAACAAGGATAACATAATAATAGGGGGGACTTAGCAAATTACAGACAAAATGGTAGGAAATTATCAATGGTTATCATTTTACATATTATTGTCTACAAAATAGTTTCTCAGGAAAACAAATAGACAAAT